GTACTAGTAATCAAGTGCAACAGCTGAGTGAAGAGGCTTTGTAAGGTATACAAATGTTCCATTCATTCTACTAAGCATACTAAACCTTGGCCTACGTTAGAGCTTCCGAGGGTGATTTTCCCAGTCGGAAAGGATGACATATCGCGGAGTTTTACCGGAAGGTCAGGACGTGATCCAGCACTGCTCTTGAACGCGAAAAGGGCGATGCAGGCGAAGAAATGTTTATAAAGTCCACTTAAGAGATGCTTAGACTCGAGAATCGATCTCTTTCATCGAAAAGAATACAAGTTAGCAACTTCATCTCACTCAAGTATTCAATATCCAGTCCAGTCACAATCCTCAACGAACTTTGTTCACCATCGGAATGTCTACCTATCAAACAGTGGAGACTCAATATGTCGCCGTCGACAACACCCGAATCGCTTACCGCCGGATCGGGGTAAAGAGTCAGGTCCCTTTACTTTATATTAACCATCTTCGTGGTTCAATGGACACTCTCGACCCTCTTCTCTTCAATACGATTGCGAAGTCAAGAGAAGTCATCGTATATGACAGCTTCGGTATCGGGCACAGTGAGGGCGAGGTGCCCTCTTCCACTGAAGTCATGGCTTCAATTGCAGCCAAGTTTCTCGCTACCCTTGGTGTTTCCAAAGCTGATGTCATTGGCTTTTCCATGGGAGGTGGTGTGGCTCAGATTCTGGCATGGGACTATCCTCAGCTGGTTCGAAAGTTGATTCTGGCTGGGACTCAACCAGGTATCGGAGAAGGAGTTGTCCTGCCACCCCGCGAGGTTCTAGAAAGTGCCGGAACAGCCAACGATGAGCCACCTACCAAGGAGGACATGTTCCATCTTTTCTACCACCCGTCGGAAACGAGCGTCGCACTCGGTGAAGCATGGTGGAAACGAATCCATGAGCGAAAGGTTGACGGCGAGGAGCGCAGAGAATACCTGATCGGACCTGGAGCAAGGGCCCAACTGAATGCAATCTTCTCGTTTACGGTTGATACGGACAACTTTGAGCGCATGAAGACTATCAAAGCTCCCACTCTAGTCACCAACGGCCACACTGATATTATGTCCCCAACTTCCAACAGTTTCACTCTTCAACAGAACTTGTCGGATGCTCAGCTCATAATCTATCCTGATGCCGGTCATGGTCATCTATTCCAGTACCCAGAGCTCTATACACAACATCTCAACCTTTTCCTTGGGAGCAAGGAATGAGCTTTCTTAAGGAGTTTTCCGATAGTTCATCACACCTCCAATGTAAAATGTTGACATGCACTTCGCACGATAACATAACATATCGTAATTGTACTTACAATACGTCTAACTGGAAGCTTGATCGAGGTCTGATTTGTCCCAAGCCATTCAAAGGCCATCCAGGTATGTTCAGCGTATGGTCAAGGTGCCGATTAGAACGTAAAGTTACACCTTGGCCGAGTGCCTTCCATCAAGGGAGTTTAGGCCCACGAAGCCCTGTCCCATCCAGCTCCGAACCTAACACAATTCTGCTACGCAGCAGTCCTGTCCCATTCAAACCCAAAATACTGAAGTGACGGAAAATTCTGCAATGTGCAGATCAAACTTCATTTCGCACCTACGATTTCGTTTTCTAACCGACATCTAACGCAAAACACAACAATTCACTACCTCATACATCTCCCGTAATTCAGACTTGAACAGCGAACAGAGCCCAATCTATTTGAACCTCGTCAAGATGCATCTGTCACCCTTCTTTCAGCTCATTGTTGCCGCCTTGATCACTCCTGGCATGGCACTTCCAACTGAGGTTAAAGAAACTGGCCAAGCAGCAACCAGCCATGCGCCCCCGACTGCCATGGCAGACTCCATTTCGGCAAAGGAGTTTGACGGGACTATGACGACCGTATCAACATCAACAAGGTGTATCCACGTAAGTAAACACATCACTGCATTATATGTTGCCAACGTCTGACCTGATCGAAGGCGAGTTTGAGACCCTTTTGCCCTGCACTCTGCGGCATTACCTCGATTGCCGGGGATGATGTCTACTGGGAATGCGTACGTGGATGCGATTGCCGATCCAAAAAGCACGGCGGATATTAGTTTCCAAGATACATCAAATGTAGCGACTACCTACCATGAGGATTTTTGGACCGGCAATCTGGCAACCTTCTCATTTCAAAGGGATCCGCGTCGAAACCTGGATACATCAACAGACCCATATCATTATGAGTGCGGTATAGACATACTGTCCTTACCCAGACAGTCATCAGACAAGGCCAAGGATTCAGATGACACTCTCGGCACCAACTCGACCATATCATCAAGTCGCCAGAACATTTGCCATAAATAGAATAAACATCAAGTTTTGCGGCATTACATCAATAAATGAACCAAGTCAGTAAAAGATTGGCTGTTATTCATGTGACTTGGGTGAAATAGATATTCTTTGACAGACTTTCGTCTTTCTTCATCACGTGTATCTACCCCGTTCAACAACGAAGTTATCAGTATCGCGCGAATCTATAACGAAGTGATATCTACCCATACCTCAAGATACCGTAGCTAAATGTTAACTTTAGTGGATGTGGTTCGAACACAAGATGTGGAGATCTCCCGTAGCCATGGTTAGCACTATCTTGTAGTAAATCACATTTTACGTTACTGGTCAAGCTCTCTGTCATCAGTCCAAATACACAGTTCCACAGGATCAATTGGACTTCTATTCAGCAATCAAATATATGAGATATTCTCGCTTTCCGTTTCCGATGTACTGAATCAAGCCGAAAGAGCCTTCAGATTCAAGCTAACCTGGTGGCTACTTGTGTTTAGAAGACCTCCTCCTGCTCATCATCGTTGGTAAGTTGAACGTTGGGGTCAATATCGCGCTTGAAAACCTCCTCTTGCTCGTCATCGTTGGTGAGCTGAACGTTGGGGTTGATGTCCCTCTTGAAAACCTCCTCCTGCTCGTCGTCGTTTGTCAACTGAACATCAGGGTTGATATCCCTCTTGAAGACTTCCTCCTGCTCGTCGTCGTTCGTGAGCTGGACGTTAGGGTTGATATCGCGGCCCAGGAGACCCTTGGCGGCCTCGGCATCCTCAGGGTTCTCAGCAGCGAGAGCCTGGATGGCGGCGTTGAGATCGTCCTCGCGCTTGAAAACTTCCTCCTGCTCGTCGTCGTTCGTGAGTTGAACATTGGGGTTGATTTCACGGCCCAGGAGACCCTTGGCGGCCTCGGCATCCTCGGGGCTCTCAGCAGCGAGAGCCTGGATGGCGGCGTTGAGCTCGTCTGCACGGGCAGCAAGGGTATCGAGAGGTGCGGCCATGGCGGCAGCGACCAAAGTAGTGAGGGCGACGGTGAAGCGCATGTTGGCGGTATTGACTCGAATGAATGATTAAACTTTGTACGTTGATTTGAAAGAGCGCAGCTCGTAAATGAAGAACGGAGATTATAGAGTGGACCGGCACAAAAATAGGACGCTGAGGATAGAGAGTTCGTCGAAAGATGGAAAGATGCGTGGACATATACAGGTATTTCAATATTTCTCAGAATCCAATGGGGCGGATGCCTCGGATCGCCACAAACTCATCCAGAGCAAGCTTAGGAACTCCCGAGACGCACTGCTGCCGCAGAGCCGGTGTTGTGGATATCGAATGGCATCCCGCTGACGTTTCTTGGCAACGCGGACTCTATTTCCATTTCGAAACGACGCTTTCGTCTCGCCTTGGCGAACGATTTTGGGTATGTGCTTGCTTACTGTGCTCGTGTTCTGTGGTGTTGTTCTGATGTACATTGCAGAGGCGTTTCGAGTATCAGGCGAATCGCATTCCTTTCTTGCCGTGGGGAGGCCTCGAACAGGGGCAGAGGTTCGTCGGCTCGGTGGGTGGGATTCGTGACCCAGTTTGTTTACGCTGATCAAACCTGGCCAGCATGTCCCGTAGGATATGCGCGATGAGGGGTCTCCCCGCACGGAAAGGCTGCGGGTTGGATGAAGAAACATCGGGTGAAGCGATACTTGTCGGGAGCCTGAGATTCCGTGCTCAGAGCCTCATTTCTTGCATTGCATGCTGCACGAGTGCTCGGACGGCGAACGGATGAGATAGGTCTGGTTCTCACATGAATCATTTTAGTGTCCCTCACCCAGAAGACCTGAAAAGCCGGTCACCACAGCCACGTTTGCCTCATAAGCGAGAGACAGCTCATGGTCACGATCTTTCAGTTGAAATAGCGAAACTGGTCCTCGAGGTAAACAAAGATGCGAGTTGCAACTAGGGTTATGTCGATCCTGAAGACCTCCCGAGACAGCCCCATGCCGGGGATTTTTTTTGCCGCCATCCCGCTATTGCGTTGCAGCGTTTCGTTTTGCGTCTTGAGCTGTCCCAAAAGTGTCCCAGCGGCAGCGCGACCGTGCACACGAGGTTCCTCCAGACGCAAACTTGCCGCGTCTTCTTCACTCCACTTTGTAACATACATATGTTATGCATATCTCTTAGGGACATTCTGCTTGTGCTCCGTATGAGTGGTTAGGTTATCCAAGGAACTCGCTGCTGATCGGCGGTCACGAATTACCGATCGATTGGTGGGCCTGGTCGATGTTCCTAGGATCAACGTTGAGACTAAGAAAACAATCCCTTGTTCGTTCCTCTGAACCAACAGCTTACCCAAGTCGGGAGGCCCTAAAGAACCCAGTCTTGCCAGTGCCACCCTAAAAGCCGAACTACTTGTGGCAAGCGATTTCTATGGTGAGGCAAGTCTGAAGTACAGCCCTGGTGAGCACGGTATCCAGGTCTCGCCTCACCTTTGAGCACAACATAGGGCAGCTTATGCCCTCGCAACGGCCGGCAAATCAGCTGATCGGAGTCACGGCGAGTCCATGATCAGCGCGAGACCTTAGGTGAGACGGTTAAAACACGGGAGGCTCTCGGCTTGCCAAGCAATCTTAAACTGTGCATTCTCAACTCTATGCCGACGACCAGGTAGGCTAACATACATGGCTCATTATTCTCGTAATCATTAAATATCCTTCGACTTCGTTGCCAAGCGATAGTCCATGCCTACCGTCACACTCCCGAACCAAAGCGCCAGCTTATCCACGATAAGGTTCTTTCTTCCATACCAAGGTCCCTGGTTAGTCACCACAGGCATTCGACCGTGCGCGCGGGTGAAGTAGTTGGATGTGGCATCTACACAAGGCAACCTGGGCGAATTCTTCTTCTCCTCGTCCGACAAGACGGGGGTGGCAGCAACGGCACCGGTCTTCTGCATCTGCTTGATGACACGGATGCAGAGCCGGGTCACGGTATCGGCGCCGGGAGTCCAGGTTTGAGTGACGTAGCCGATGATTGCAGCCGCGTTGGGCACGCCGTCGAGCATGCATCCGCGCCAGCTGTACTTCTCTCCAACCTTGACCGGGACGCCATCGACAGTGACATCCGTACCTCCGAAAAGCTGCACGTGAAGTCCAGTTGCCGTAACAATAATGTCGGCGGGCAGATGGCGGCCGGATTTGGTGAGAATGCCATCCTTGGTGACCGTCTCGATGTGGTCCGTGACAATCTCCGTGTTGGACTGGTGCAGCGTCTTGAAAACATCTCCATCTGGGCACATGTTGAGGCGCTGCTCGAAGGGGTTGTATTTGGGTTTGAAGTGGATATCGACAGGGTAGTCTTTGGGAAGCCGACGCTTTGCATCGAATCGGAGGAACTGCTTGGCCAGGTTGGGGAAGCCCAAAACAACCTGGATAAAGACAGTCTCCAGGAGAAGGTCCTTGAGCAGGATGAACCAGTTCGCCAAGAATAGAGGTAGGAACCTTTTCGCGGCTTTGTCGACTGGTGATTCTGCCCCTAGTGCGAAAACATACGACGGACTGCGCTGGAGGATGGTGGTGAAGCCAGCTGTTTTGGCGATATTGGGAAATAAGGTCATGGTGGTGGCGCCGGAGCCGATGATGATGACGCGCTTTCCAGCGTAGTCAAGGTCTTCGGGCCACCACTGAGGGTGGATCGTCTTGCCCTCAAAGCTCTCGATTCCGGGAATGTGTGTCTCCAGGGCCTTCTCGTAGGAATAGTATCCGGAGCAAACAAAGAGAAACTTTGCTTTGATCTTCTTGGTTCCCTGGGGGGTATTGCACTCCAGAGTCCATCGAGCCTCATCGCTGTCCCAATCTGATGACAACACCTTGTGCTGGAATCGGATGTGCTTGTCGATGTGGTGTGTCTTGACAGCATCTTCAATGTAAGCCGCAATGGGCGCGCCCTCGATGATCTTCTTGTCGTGAGGCCATGGATGCCATCCGAAGCCAAAGTTCGTCATGTTCGAGTCGGAGCGAAATCCGGGATACTTCCAGTAAGACCACGTCCCACCGACTACGTCACGGGCCTCGAGCACCGCGAAGGTGCTGTCTGGCAGCTCTGTCCGCACACGGTACGCGGCATTGACGCCGGAGATGCCTGCGCCAAGAATGAGGATGTCGAGTTCTTCCGCCATAGTTTCGATGGTCTGCTGTCGAGTTGGTGATAGACCTCTCAACACTTGAGGTCGTGATGGTAGCAAAGATCTTATGTATGGAAACTCGTGCGATCAGAGGATTTTTTGTTGAGGCAACGTGCATGCCGAGGCTTTTTTTTCCTAGCGGGTCATGCACGCGTCGATCTCGTGCTTGGTGGAGGATGCCATGCAGGGGCTCGCATGTCTTAAAGCGTCTTGACGCCTCCTCAACCCCTCGATCCAGCCTCTCCTTGGCTGCTTCGTCCCTCCACTACCATGCGAATGCGAACGACAGCGTCAATCAAAACACGTGCCTCGGCACATTTGACGCTTCGACAGCGCTTCTGTGCGTCTATCGACCTATCCATTTGACGGCAACTATCACAATTGTCTTTATGCTTTGGATTATTCGCCGTCGCCTCATGTTTGTGCCTCGGCAAGCATCTCTTACTCGCATTCGTTCGACTTCAGAAGGCATAGACCGATGCTCATACAGGATTTTGTATCAGAGCAACTGAAAACTATGTGGTTTCAATTACACTAATGATGGCAGACATCGATCTATCCTCCTGACTTCACATGCGAATGCCAACGCAAGCGGGTGGTGGGCGGCAACAATTGGATGGATGGATCAAAACAGAGTTGCGTTAGTGAGATCCGTCAGTGGTTCGTTTCATGTGATATTGTTCGAGTTCAACACTAGAAGGCCTCGTCTATGCGGCCGAGTCTTGAGTGTTGCCACGCGGCGCTTCTAGTCCGGTCAAGTAGTCAATTTTTTATTGCTGCCTTGCTGTCGTGGAATGGGTAATAGGAATTCTGGTGGCGAATGTTTTACGTCTATCTTTCTTGAGATAGGAAAAATGAACGTACTATGCGTACTTGAGGTGTTTCCGTGAAAAGTTCAGAGAAGGGAGACAACCCATCGTTGAGAGTGAGAGATTTAAGAAAGAAGCAGTCTAAATGTTTGATGCGTAGCAGCACCCCACGTGATAATATCATCGTATATTGCACCGGATTTGCAGTGCGGTGAGTTCAATAGTGATGCTAGGTAGGTCTCATGGAACCATCAGTCCATTTATCCTCTGATTGAACGACGTCATCATGCTCATCCATTTCGTCAAGGCTATTTATCCTGTCGCCCACGTGGCAGAGCTGGACCATGTTCTACAACTACCAACATAGGTAATACGCAGGGCAGGTGGACTGGGCAAGATAGATACCATACTCACTAGTTACCGTATATGATAAGCTTACCTACAAAAATTTGTATAACACGCACAATTCGGCATTGGATTTATCCAATCGAGCCATCCTTCTAGTACTTCTCCCTTGTTCCCGTGCAGAACCAGACGGATGTTAGCACAAAGGTTCGGACGTCGGTTCATGACACAACGATGTTACCTGTTTGGACATTCTAAATATACCTATTTTGGCAGGTTACCAAGTGGGCCGGAAGCCATGAGTGGTAGGAGAACAAAACCTGGAGAGGTATTTTCCAGGGAGTAGGACCGAGTAGCTGAATAAGGTACCTTATTCAAGGAATGCTTTTTGACTCAAACTGAGTAAAGAACAAACATCTGGTTCCAAGACAACACAGACACCCACAGTGATGACTGCACTGTCAATTCTAAACCTGGCTTTGGAACTTTGGGCACTGCAATGGACAAACCAGCTAGAAACGTGCAACTTTATATGCGTTGAACTAATCGCTTGGGTCTCAGTAACTTCCAACATGCTCATTGCTGTGACTCTAATGAAGCCTAACTAACTACATGCACGCCAACATAAGCATGATGAGCGCTAAAAAGACCATTAAAGATATTGCAGTCTATTACACAAGCCACGAGCTATCAGCTTCGCGAATCAAATAGCTACGAACAGGGATTTCTATAGAGACCGTGATATTTATGTGAAGTCAGCGATGTTTTGAAATTGAAGTGGTTCAATTTTCAGCAACACTCTGAGTTCAGACTAAAAGACTACTTCTGCTTCTGTTACTACAATTTTCCTTGCGTAACTGAGCTACAAAAATGCCAAATGCGAGTTGATGTAAGAAAGACCAGGTTACCAATAACACATTCTCAAACCTCGGGATGAATGGCCACTGAGCTAGAACTTGTGACATAGATAGTGACCACGAGAAAAGCGTAGGATTGAATTAGGTCTACCACAAACGCAACTTTGATGAACTGTTGTGGCCGCCTTATGCTTCAGCGTATGGGCTTTAGTTATATATTTTGGACGATCTGGGTGGCCCCTAAAAAGATCTTAGTATGATAAAGCACTAGAACTTCACTACCTTATGTACAATAAGAATCATAGCCTATTGCCTCATAGCCAGTCCATTTGATCTGGTATATCCTACTCATGATGAAACCTTGCTAGATCATCAGTTGGAGACTAGGCTACGCAGTTGGGCGTTCTCAATGTCAATGCTCATTTGCACGAGGTCGGACGAACGACATTGCTATCACATTGATACGAAAGTTCTGTGAGTGAAGTTGAAGTTCTCCTGGCAATCTTCCCTATCTGCCGGCCGACGGACCGAGAGCCGGCCCCGTCATCGGTAGTGATCAGAGTTATTTGAGGCAGCGCTCGGTGGTATGGAGGCAGCTCGGAAATTTGAGGCTCTGCGCCATTCGATCACGCCTTTTGATAGTTCAATAGGCAATTCGGTCTTCCAGAACCGGCCAAGCCACTATCGGTCTCATTTTCGAGACCTCTATGCCTAACGCCGACAACTTCGTCTCACATCAGCGGCTTCTACCATGCCAAACAGCATCATCCGGGTCGCGGGGTTAGGCGTTACGTTGGCCGAGCGGGGTATTCTCCTTGGTTCTGCGGCGAAGCAATTGACTTCAGAGTGAAACTTTGCGGGGTATCATCATCATCGGCGTCAAATCGGGTGGGGATCCGATAGCCTAGGCGCCCTCATAATAGCAACGAGGAGATATGCAATCGTGAAGATTAGGCGGAACGGGCAAGTTTATCCCAGTTGCGTGCTCGAATCAACGTTTGACTGACAGCATTCGGCATTGGAATGCGGGGAAGACAGCGAATCAGGTAAGCCAACGCGTGGGTGTTGGTTCCGGTCCGGCCTCTTCGGGGATGGTTCGGGAACCCTTCCGCCAAGTCGCCGGTCGAGGGATCGGGAGTTGAGAACGCCCCGAAAGTGAATGAGAGCACCTGGTATAAAGGAATTCCTCGCCGTCTTTATATACACAATCAAGAAACTAATCAAGTCCATCAAGGTTCTACTCCATCAAGGTCCTCGGCCCACCCATCAACACCAATATCCGATTAATCAACCACCACCAACCACACACACCACTCCAGTCCAATCTACCATGGCCCCTTCTCTTCACCCATTGATCGACAACGGTCTCACCAAGGGAGATCCCAACTTCGCCGGTGGAAAGCTCCGTTGCCATTGCAAGAGTAACCCCGTGGAAGTCACACTCGGAGGCAACGTTGCTCACAACCACGCATGCGGATGCTCAAAGTGCTGGAAGCCCGCTGGCGCCCTTTTCTCAGTTGTCGGTGTTATTTCAAGAGACCAACTTAAGGTCACTGCCAACGAAAGCAAGCTGCACGTTGTCGACGACTCGGCAGTCATTCTCCGAAACGCATGCAAGGAGTGCGGGGTTCACCTATTCGGACGTATCGAAAAGGCACACCCCTTCAAGGGTCTGGACTTTGTGCACGCTGAACTCTCGGATGAGAAGGGATGGCAGGAGCCCCAGTTCGCCGCCTTTGTTTCCTCAATCATTGAGCAAGGCTTCCACCCCAAGGGCATCGATGAAGTCCGCAACAAGTTCAAGTCTGTTGGCTTGGAGACATATGACGCCTTGTCGCCTGCGTTGATGGATCTCATCGCGACTTGGACTGCACAGCAGTCCGGTCGTCTCCCGACCAAGCTTTAAGGGGCAACCAGAGATTATTACTTGTTCTTGATATCCTCGATGATTCATACATTGGCACCCGGACTGCACAAAAGCCGCAAAGGCATGGATTGGTTATCTTAGCAAAACAAAATGTAAAATCAATAGTCTTATCACATAGGCTGCGGTGGTAAAATTTATAAGCTGCTTTAACGCGTCATGCTTGCTTGATCATCATCGCCATTAATCGGGTAGATGCCACGGGCGAAACAGAACCAACGTTATCCATCTATATCTAATTGTGCTTTCTATCAATTCACGGAGAAGGGAATACTAATTGGCATTGGCTGAGTTCTTGTGATCTAAGGCCACTTCATGTTGCTAAGCACCCCGGTGTAAGTATGGCTGAGTTATGCGCGTTAGGTATGCCACGTCATGTCAACACTATTCGGTCATGTCGGAAATCTATAAGCTAAGTAATAGTCGCAATCAATACATTTTCTATAGATCGGAACATCTTATAGCGGGAATTCGCACCCTAATTTCACCTTTCTGCATGATACGTATCATTGCTAGAACCAGATGGCTTTGGCGTATCTACAAGTGACCCAGTTAAACTATGCCCCAGAACCGGGGAAAGAAGCAAACCCGAGAATTCGAGAAATAAGAAAATCTAATCTCAGGCGGGTCGTTCTTCTCTATAAGACGCAGCGAGTTTCGACGACCATATGACAGACCTACTATGTGAGGGATGAGGTAACGTCTCTTCAGAACTACAGTGTCTCACTAATATAGATCTCAGTAATGTTTGGCCTACCACTGGAAACCAGAGAGATCGGAAAGTATTTGGATACAATTTCTATTGCGAACAAGAATCACTTGGTCTACCTCATGTCTTGTGCTTGGTGCCGTGACCTTCCCAGAGTGATAGCTTCAGCCTCTAAGAAGACTAACACGCATATGGAATCTCTCAATGAACATCCTTATGCGATACGGAACCATCCAGGAATCGATCTGTGGACTCCTGGAAACAGGACGAACGCAGTCACACCGGTGGCTGCGAAGAGAGCAGCCAAGTGACCAAGCTTTTCTTTCAGCTGAACCAAAGTCTTCTAGGCTGGCGGAAAGTGGGTGTCTTTGGACGCGCCGAACTTTCAGGCGAGTCGTGCGAGTCAAAGGCCGATGATCTTGCCTCCGAGTGTTCTCAGTGCACCAGCAAGTATCATCACCTGTGCGGCTGTGCCTGCACCGGCGCCGACGCCACCCAACCCGCGGAGCAGGCTGTCGGCTCGTTCCCGTAGCCGCTGTGTGATATCCCGGCTGGATTGATGCCCAAAATTTGGTGGTAGACGCTCTATTGTAATTATCCCACAGGCAGGTCAAGGAACAAAAACCGGCTAATTGACTGAAATAGGTGACAGCAAGCCGGCCCTTAAGAGTCCAGAAACCGCCGCCAAAACTCTCTTTCATCAAGTCGATAGATCGCCATGGGGCACGATTGGTCTAGTTCCCAACCCCCGACCTGTTGTCGAATTCTTGGCAACGCAAGTTTCGGAGCGTCGGATGTCGAGAGAAGCTCATCCAACGAACTTCCTGCCGGACCCACGCCGACGCCACGAGGCCAGGACTTGGCTGCCTGAAAAGACAAGTCATGTCCGAACTGAAAAGAGGCAAGAAGGAGGACGTCTCCATCCGGAAGGGAAATGCTGAGATAATGGGTTTTTGCACAAATGAATCAGGGTTCGCGACTGCCCCGTAGTTGTGAGGGGCTTCATAACTTAGTCTCTCTCGCTTGCAAGGGTTGAAGAGTCTTTGCCGGGGTGCTTGACAGGACACTGACACCATGTGCGGTAAGGATCGACAAAAGACAATTTTGACAATTACCGTGCGTTTTTGCACGCGGCCAGCCGCTTCTACCGCAGTACTACGGATACAGAGTGGGAAACGGCAATGGCGGTGAATTTGGATCTGGGGTCCGGGGTTGAGCTCAAATTGAACCTGCACTGGCACTGTCGGGCCTCAAGCGACAAGCGTACGGCCATACGTAGTTGCATCGGAATCTGCAACGGCGGTTCGTAACTAGACGCCGTTGGTAGCGTACTCATTGCCGCGACTAAACAACACACAGACTGGGCCTAGTTTTCTGGAAGCAATTCAAAGAGGGTCTCAAGCAGATTTGATGCTTTACGAATTGTCCATTCCCTCGGCTGAAAGCCAACCCGCACTGTTTAACTCCATCGTTTTGCATTACTAGAGGATTACCGCAGTATATATAGATACTACCCTGCCCTCGAATTCCGTACTATTTAACCTTAACCCTTTTTTTACCTATCCTTTCCTCTATTCTACCCTCTCTTTTATTAAGGGATCACTAGAATCGTAGTTTCGATAGCTTATTAATAAGCTAGTATTATTATTTAAAAATAAGTAATTTATTTTTATATATAAGTACTAAGAATCTTATTATTATAAAAATAGTAATAAATATACTAAAGTACTTAAAAAAGCTTTTTAATAAACTTTTAATACTATTTAAAATAATTATCCTCGAGCTATAAAAAAAAGCCGAGGTACTATATTAATATAGCCCTATTTATTTTATTAATATTAATAATACCCTTTTTAATATAGGATATATTAGTAATATTTTATAATTACGTTATTATATTTCGTAAATTATACTTAACGTTAATAAGGTTTTTAATATTATTTATTAGGTCTTTTATTAAAGTCGTTATTATAGAGTTAGTTTAGTTATTAGTATTTTAGTAAGTATTTTAACTTAGTATATTTAGAAGCTCTTATAGCTCTTAAGGAGAGGCTTTTAAAGGATTTATAATTAGACTTTTTACTTATTATAGGTAAAGCTATTACGGTTAAAGCTATAGTAATTAAAACTATAATAATTAAAACTATAGTACTACTTACGGACTTTAATAATAAGTAGTTAGTAATATAATTATTTTTCTTTTATAATAAGCTTAAAAAAGCATCTTAATTTAAGTACTAAATAGGTACTATACTATTTTATTAAAACTATATTCTTATACTTATAACTTAGAAAGAATTAACTTTCTTCGATAATAAGGTACTTAGAAAGCCAACCCGCTGTTCTCTCCCTTGCGTTGCCCAGACACGCCATTTTCTTGGCCGAGCATGGTATTCTAAGCGGCTTGGCAGACAAGGAATACGTCTGCGAACCCCTGAGAGAAATGCAACGCACGACATGAGAAACGAGTCCTTGGAGCTGGAATCGTTGCCGAAGCTCGGAGACTGCAGATTGCCTTTGAAAATTTCTGATGTGATGATGATAGTCCGATCTTAAGGCTGATAGTCGAGTGCGGGTGGTAACTATAATATTTGAATCTGATATTTAGCACCGACACTTTGGTGGCCTTGTCATCTTCATTGGGATGAACCAACTGTTGTCTCAAAAGTTTAAAAAGGCTTCTCGCCTAGCCCATGCCGTGCCGCAAACGGCAGTCAACACTATGACAACGTGGGGGCCCTTTAATGGCTCTGCAATTTTCAACACTCTCGGGATTTCATATGCGCGCAGCACACTACCGGAGGTTTGCGGGCGGAGCAAGGGTCTACATAGGCTAGACTATTCTCCTACCTGGGACCTTGCTCCTGTTCGTCTCCGCCCCAACCTTTGAGAGCAGAAGATTCTCCCGTTCGCTCGCTTGTGTTGCAAAGATGTCTCTGAAGCCAATAATATGCAAACTCTGAGATGGAGGATCACGGTGCCTTGCAGAGAAACGGAGCTAGAGGCAACGCCCCCTTTCCCTCCCTTACAGACCACCCTTGGAACACGAGAGGAGTCAGGATCACTCCGTCCACATTGGCGATCTGCAGAAAACTCTACTCTGCAACGGGTGAACGGTTATCTTTCAGAGCCTGTCAAGCTTATTTTCCCGTGTATCATGTTTAGCGTAGTCGTTCGACTTGGTTCAAGCAGCAGTAGCGTCTAGTCTTCCCGGAGAGGGGGAAACTGTGGCGACATCGTGGATCACCCTCTCAATAAGACACAAAGATCTACATAAAGAAAAGGGTCCTTCCTGTCTCTCGCTGCTACCTTCGATCTGACCGCTCTTCTCTCTTGGTTCGCTTTGGCCGATAGTGAGATTTCTTGGCTCTTACCCACGACGACCCGGCGCCCTGGGACAGGACAGCACGACTCATCAGCTGAGGAGCCAGTCAAAGCTTCGCCTTGGGGGCCGATCTCCCTTTTACAAGGCAGCCCGGCTGCTTCTTGCAGGCCTGATTACATATCATATCCATTCATCCATCTTTCAACATGGAGTATGCTTCGATTGTTGCTCGGCGCCCTGAGCACCCGGACGTATTGACGATACCGACCCCGCCCCATCAGCAAGCCGCCATCTTCATCACATTCTTCTTTCCGGCGCTTTCGATAGTTGTGTTTGGAGCTCGAACATATAGCAGACTTACGACTAGACAATGGGGTCTTGGTACGTTGGCCGAGGAGCAGGTTTTGTGCCGGCTGGAAAACCATAGGGGCTAACACTAGGAATAGATGACTGGTTATGCGGCATGGCAGTGGTAGGCAAATTCGAACGAATGAAAGGCAACAACGGAAAGGATCTTGTTGGCTAACAAAGTTTTAGCTATGCGCAGTGTGTATGACGCCGCCATTCTATATGTGTAAGCGCTTCGCCATGCCTTCTCTTTGCCTCGTTTGTGTATTAAACTCTACCTAGACATCAAGCTCATGTACTTCGGATACCACGCGGTTGATGTTCCCCAGCCCTTCAACTCGTCACCCGCTATGTGGTGGTTCTTTATGGCACAAATGTTCTACAACCCCGTTTTGGCCTTCGTCAGAGCCTCAATTTTGGTCTTCCTTCTGCGTCTTGGAGGACAGAAGCCCGGCGTTAGATGGACCATCCATGGCTTGAACATCGCCAATGCTGCCATGGCCACAGCCATCTTCCTCGTCGCTCTCCTTCAGTGCCTACCAATCGAGGCTAACTGGGATCCTCTCGTACGAGCTTCTGCCCGATGTGTCGACAACTCCTTTCACGTGTCAATCTCTTGTCTGAACGTCTTGATGGATGTACTCGTTCTGTTGATGCCGTTCTGGATCTTCCTGGGCTTAAAGATGCCAATGGGCGCGAAGATTGCCGTCATTTGCGTCTTCTTGGTTGGTGCAGTGTAAGTTTGACATCCATGATCTTGAAAACCCTGTCCCAAGCTAATAAATCCTCTACCAGCGTCACTGTCGTGGCTATCATCCGTCTCGTAGCCATCTACAAACTCTTCTACGTGCCCCCGGATCCCAACAAAGACCCCTTCTACGATATCGGCGTCGTCTACAACACGGTCGAAGTGAACCTCGCCATCGTCTCCGCGTCCGCCCCGGCTCTGCGTCCCATGTTCCGCAAGTGGTGGCCGAAGCTCTTCGGTGCCATCAGCTCTGGCAAGACCGGCAGCAGTGGGCTCAAGTACTACGGCAACTCCTCTCGCCCTCGTAACACGGTCCGAGAAGGCGACAACATCACGCTTAAAGACATGCGTATGACGCGCTCGCAACACCACACGGAGATCCGAAGCACGTCACCTTCTGGGTCAGAGGAGGAAATCATGACGTACAACGGAATTGTCCGCACAACCAATGTCAACTTGACGTACGAGTCAAATACCAGCGTCGGGGACGATTCTCGGTCTTCGACCGATTACAGGACCGGAGAGAAGCCCCTGAGCAAGGGAGCCATAGTCTGAGAAAAGATTTGTATGATGACTCAATGTTGGACAAGAGCTGGAGTTCAGGGGAAGCGTTCGATTTCTTAAGTTGAAGCAACATCGAGATATCCCGGGCTACCACCCAAAAATACAAGTGTAACAAGTACCTTTTCTTTTGTCATAATGTCAACGACCAGAAACAACGTTCCTCAAATTACAGTTTATCAAGAAATGGCATTACCAGCGCGTCATCATCCTCGAGCCAACCTAGAAGGCTTGTGTATTATGCAGTATTCTGTGAGAAACAGAAGATGGAGGATTATTTCGATGACTTATTAATATGCCTAGTAAAGTTTTGCCGTTGTTACTAGCCTTTCGCCTTGGGGGCACAGCTTGTTCTAGCTGGACTGCGTCCTCGGTCTGAGGTTCTACTCGAAGCTTTGAATCACGTCCTCTGAGCTTGTGTCCAAGATCCAAATTCTCTAGCGTGTCCGAGGATTGATTCTCGTCAGAGGGCAGTTTTGCAGCGTATTTAATCCAGTAGATCTCAAACATGATGGGTGTTCCAACTCTCCCGTTGAGACATAATAGGCTATTACTGCTTAGTAGTTTCCAGGCCCAGACTTTAACCCTTGCACACTTGGATGGATTTAACCGCTGGGTTATGACCGCGAAGTCGGACTGTGCTGTTCCGGATAACGAAGATCTGAACGACTACCAAATGACACATCTAATACTCGCAGCTGCATATTATCCGCTTAACGAGGTCAACGCACACATGCTCACAGCTTGGCTCAATTCTTTACGAGGGTGCCCGAAGTTATCATGGCCAGTCATTGGTACGCTCAGCTTCATGCTATGGAAGTCATCACCATATCGGCATATGATCTTTATGGCGTTGAACACGCATACTGGAAACTGAAAGATGGTCGGGTATCACCTGTGTTAGTCTCATTTTCACAGCTAATGGGAGGACGAAGACCTCATTTGGCTTGAAGTGGCGCTAGTTGGTACGAGTATGATGGCAAGCTCGTTAGGTACGCTGAATACACATTCGTGGTTCGGTGCTGTGTCGGGCCATATTGAGAACGGAATCAGCTTAGACTGAATAAGAACAGAAAGGAACGGCACATTCAATTGCCGGCTAATCTACACGACCCTCAACAGCAGACAATTGACGCTGAGATTCATTCTAATAACCTCATTCACATTATGACTATGGCAAGACTGATGCGTGGGGAATAGGTATCTTCATTATATGCATTATCGTGCACTTGTCTAACTAGGAGTATTGACAGCTAGTCCGCAAGACCAACTGCCGGGGAATCATTTGACGCGGGAAATCATACAACCAAATGAGGTCACACACGCTCGTCCACAGGAAGCAGAGCATGGACATTTCTGAGTATAAGTTGTTCAAACCTTCTCAGAAACTTGGGCCTGAGCGACCTGGTCGTCCTGAGCCGCGGCAGTAGGCTGGTTGGAGCCAAGGAACTTGGTCTTCTTGAGCTGGTTGAGCTCGTCCTCCTCACCGTCAAGGTGCTTGAAGCAGAACCAGAAAGCGACACCGCCGAGGAAGGCGATGATGGCGACGGAGGCGTAGTTCCAGACGAGAAGGGGATCCTCGGACAGGGGAGTCCAGGCCTGGCCAATGGCGGCAGAGACAGCACTCATGGCCAAGTTGACGGACATGACGAGAGACTTCATGTTCTCGGGGGCCTTGGAGAAGGCATACTCGTAGGAGGTGACGTTGGTAAAGATCTCAGCGAGACCGACAAAGACGTAGGGGAGACACTGAGCCCAGACGTTGATGGGAGCCGGGCCCTCCTCGCAGATGGTGGCCAGGTCACCGCAAGGGGACATCTGGTAGATGTAGTGCTGCATGACGGTAGCGGCAACCATGGCGGCGGCAGCGAAGAAGAAACCGGTGGTCATACGCTTGATGGGAGTGAAGTTGAAGCCCATCTTGCGGAAACCAGGGTAGACAACGTGATCCAGAATGGGAATCATGATAATGATAGAGAGGGGGTTCAGGTTCTGAATGACGTCGTTGGGAGCACCGTTCAGGACCATGGAACCGGCCTGGGAGGTCAAGTTGTTGGTCATTTGGTTGTAGGCGAGGAAGAAGATGGGCAGGAAGAGGAAGACCTTGCAGGCCTTGAGACCACGGCGGACTTCATCAACCCAGGCGTCATCGTAGGTCAACCAGCCAGGGCGCTCAGCAACGGGGACGTTGCTGGGCTTCGCATTCTCCCAGTTCAGCTTGGTGATGCCTCCAGAGCGCTTCGCAGCAAAGTTGGACATGCGGAAGAACTTCTCGAGAACGGAACCGGTAGGGGGAGTGAGGTGGTACTTCTTCTTGTTGGACCAGAGGACAACAGGGCAGATCAGGAAGAGGATGGTAGGGAGGAGGAAGGCCAGCCAGAAGCTGTGGTATTTCTCAACGAAGACCATAGAGATCTGACCGCTGACGGCACCGCAGTTGATGGCGAAGTAGAACCACAGGAAGATACGGGTGTTGGTGACGGAAGGGTCGACAATGACACGCTCGCCGCCGCGTGTCTCAACGCGCATACGGGTGTCCTTGTTCTGCTCGGCGAGCAGGGGAGAGATGTTGGCCTTGAACAGACCAGTACCGCAGCAAAGTGTGAAGAGACCGAGGAAGAAGGGGGCAAAGGCGACCTTGCCCTTGGAGATGACGGAGGGAGCGGCGGCGACAGTCAGGATAATGTGAGCGACGGTGGAGACGGCGATGGCGATGTGAATGACCTTGTAACGGCCCAACTTGGAATCAGCCAACCAACCACTGGAATACTAGTCAGTCTGTGTTCTCGGCGAGTATTCACATGAAGCAACATACCCGAAAAGGGGAACGAGGTAAGCCCAGAACTGGTTCACCAGAGAGACACCCTGAGAGGCTCTCTGACCCATGCCCAAGGCACCGGCGGGGATATCAGCGCCGTAGGTGGCGCCGGTCGTCGAACCCGGAGGAAGGGGGCGCATGACGAAGTTGGTGTACAAGACGGAGGAACCGTAGTACGAGAAACGCTCGCAGAGCTCGGCGAAGGCGATGGTGTAGATACCCCAGTGAATGGGACCCGAGACACGGCGAAGCGTGTTCAACTCCTCCTCGGTGGGCTTATCCTCGTAGTCATCGTCGGACTTGGAGTCGTAGTAGTTGTCTTCGAGAGGAGGGGCGGCGGCGGCGGTCACGTCGAATGAGCCGCGAGTCTCCTTCGAGGTGCCCTGCACAGTGGCCTGGGGAACGTGGGCCTTGGCCAGGACATCGTCCTGAAGGCCTCCAGCGTTACTCATGGTTTGAGTTGGAGGAAAGTTTCTGGGGCGGGGTGAGGAACCAGAGGTTTGGTACAAGACGCTCCGCGAGTGATGATAGCGAAAGACACGAGTTAACGAGTCTCTGACAGCAAATTGACAGGTGGGTCAAACTTGGACCTGAGCTGTTGGCCGTGGATGAAGGGCTGCTGATCGCGAGAGGAGAGGGAAGCGGAGGGCTATGAGTGAGGGAGCGTCTCATGAGAGATGATTTATATTTCCCGGTCGCGACAGCAGGAGGTCGCATCACAGCTGCATTCGGCAGCCGATAGGTATCCGCAGATACAGAGACATGGACAAGATACTCTAGGAGTCTAGCGCCTGGAGGTGGGGGGACAAGGACGGGGGTTGGATGACATGGACATGGACTCATGCCTAGCATGGAGGGAAGACGGTGGTGGCATGGGATGGCATGGGACGGGCCAATCGTGGAGGAGGTAAGGTTTGCCTCGATGTCAACAAGGTTCCTGGGTCCAGGGTTCGTGCGTGGGCGTCGACGGAGCCGTCAAGAAGGGAGGGAGGGGACCGTCCATCTCGCCCAGAACCGTCGCCACGGGACAGGAGACGAGAGAATACCATACAAGCTACCTCTTTCTCTACTTGGCTACGTTGCAAAGAACAGAGTAACGCGGAGTACCGCACCACCAAGAGAAAACTGTCGGGGACGACGGGGTCGAGGTCGGACGTTTGGGACGGTGCAGGGGGGGGGGGTCAGAATCGGAGACAGGCGGCCAGGGCGCGCAGGATGCAGGTCGCAGGGAAGAGTTGAAGGGATTCGTTGCAACAGAACGATGCCACAGGTGAGAGTCCACGGAATCCACGCCAGGCTGGACCGAGACAGATAGTAGTGGTGGGTGGTGGGCAGCTCCAACGAAAGGGAGATGATGGACCCCGATGGATATGATGGACCGTGATGGGCTCGAGGACAAATGGCCCGATTAGGCAGGTCGAGGATGAGAGGGTAGCAGATAGGCGGCGGCGTAGCTGATGTCGGTCCGGGTTTAACACCAGAGTTGAGAAACAGAGTGAGAGACAGCGAGCCTGAGTTCGCCTTGTTAGACACACACTCTGGTGAGGGAGAGCATCTGATTCGCGACTCGTGAAACCCGGGCAAACAGCTGAACTCGGCCGGCTCTATTTGATATCAGCAGGTTGCAGAATCTGCCTACCTACCAGACTCGGGAAAAGTCAGCCAGCAGGGCGACAAAGTGGTGAGAGCTTGAGTCTCTTGGACGGTGAAATGCGACAGCCAAGGGGCTCGGCGGTAACGTTGATCGACCTTGGCATCGCCGCCACCCCATCTCATCGAGCATCTTCATTGGCGCGTCTCCCGGGCCTGACTTCTCTATCAGTGTTGGCACGAAAAAATTGCTCGTTGGCTGTGTTGCCAGCGTTGGTGTGGTGGTGTAACTTCGATGAACAGACGTGTTTTGGCGTTCACTTCGGCTCACGGGAGAGCGCCAGCGTGAGCCTGCCGCATACCTGGCTGCGACTTGGCTTCTGGCGCGGCTTCGAGAACAAAGTTGGTCCTGGGCATGCCTGGCGCCGTCCTGCACGATGGACGGGAAGGGAGAGCATTGGGGGCGGGTGGCCTGGTGATAGCCGAGTGCCACACCGAGGTCTTGATTCGTTGATGCGCCACACGAAGGATTGCCGTTGATTAGGGGCCTTTTTAACGGAGTAGTATGCGACGAATCGCATTATTCAACTCTACTGCATCTGCTAACACGTAGTCGCTACCAATGAACGGATCACTAGTCCATTGGTGTACTTGCGGGGGGATGTCGATGATGCGAAGGCGCATCTCAAATCATCGCCGCCCCCTTCATGATACGCACCGCCAAGACTCATACACGGCGCGGGAAAGGGAAGGTGATGTCGCTACCGAGGCCACCGTAGTGGTTGAATGGGTGTAAACGGGCTTGGCTTAGGGCTGGAGAGGGGTTGAATGGACAATTGAGTTTGCAAACGAGGGCAAAGGCCGAGGATGGCCGCATGTGCACATCATGACTCTCTTTCTCTACAGCAGAAGACGATATCGTTCACTCTCCCATGCAGTTTGATGCCACTACCTTACTGTTCAGCTGAACATGCGGTTCCTCCTTCATCGCTTTCTACACTTCAACTCCTTCAGCCAAAGCCGCGTCGTGCTACCCACAATCCACGTACGCGTTCCTAGCATAGGTGGTTGCTGACAGATGGACCGCATGGAATGGTCCGGTCAAACACTTTAGTTGCAGCTCTCTGCCGTGGCACTAGTCCCCCGGCGACCTTCCCAAACGATAAGAGCCGTAGCAGTGGCCCATGAGCTTAATGTCGCGACGCCCACGTCCTCCCCTGTTTGGTTGGTTCCGGAGCGAGGCTATACCCGGTTCAGCCAGACACCCCGGGGGATTTTTGTCTGCAGTGCTTGGAACGGCCCCATCGAAAGGTCCTTTTGGATGATGGATCAGCTTCTGGCTCTTGAGATGGACCAGTCGGACGGGAGATTCGTATCGGACTGCTTGCGATCCACTGGATACCGCCGAAATTGTGCAGACTTGAAGGACTGGCGTCGTTGGGAATTGGGAAGTTTGGGGGAATATGGGAATGTGGGAGCGGAAGCCCGCCCAGACACACCAATGCCCGGAAGGCTTTTCTCTTAGTCAACGGTGCCAGACTCCTGGGCAATGATAATGGGCACGACTTCCTACTCCAGAGATGACACTTGACATGTGCCCACAGGATTATATGGGGTTCAAGAGACCAAAAGGAAAGGTGGTATTCCCATCACGACCGCCCAGACAACGGGCAATGAAATATACGGTCTTGGCTTCATGTCCTAGCGAGTTGGCCTCTTCAAAAGTGCCCCCGTCTCCGTCTCCGTCTCCCTCGTTTTCGTCCAAAGCCAAGACTCGGTTGCAAGCATGCTCCAAGCTTCGCCTCATTGCTTGTCTTCTTGGCTTTGGTTGCTAGTATTCACGGGTAGCGCCGCCGAGGCATCTCTTCAAAAGTTCGTCTACGAATACTCATACACTGTTTGTTGAACCCCGCGAAACAATGGAGCAAAGCCCGCGTGCATCAGGCTCAGCACACAGCAACTAGGTGACGGGCAGTGGTCTCGGTGTCGCGTGTCTACTTTCTGCACTTGATGGTGGCAACCACTGCACAGACCAGACAGACCCTGACACGATGGGAACCTGAAGTCAGAGAGGTCGGGCGACCCCAGGTCTCCCCCAGATGGTGTGGGTTGCCAGATTATCAGTGGCCTGAGTAGAGATGGGCGCACCACTCACAGCATGTGCGACGCGGGATGTCGCATACAATCAGCACGGCAATGTCCCACGAACCAGCCCTCTCGCGAATCCTTCAGGCTTCAGCCAACCCACGGTTTGCCGAACTTCCGATAAGAAGAACAACGAATGGAAGCTCGCGAGACTCTTACACGACCATGATAACTGACTTCACTCTTCTTGGCCGCTAAATGTTGATTATAGCCCATTGAGTTCAGAGCGGGACGAAGCCCGAGAGTCCCCAATATCATAATACTAGTACGAATAGGAATCACATTGCAGTTGTGTTTTGATAACGGTGTGGTAGGCTTGACTGAGAAACCGATAGTTCTCATAAGTTTTCATGGGCACACTCAGGGTATTCATTCTGCTGGTAGTGAACCTCTTGCTTCAAACCTCGGTAGGCTCATTGCCTCATGTCGTTCGCGCCGTCGAGCTCAGATACCTAAGTATCGAGTTTCGCGAGGCAACATAGAAATCCAAGATGAATCGCAAGCCACAAAAACCAGGGGGTGTAGGAGAGGTATCTTTCATTGGGACAAACGCCTGCACGGCAATGGAGTCGTAGGCGACGGGTCGGACGGGTGAAAATGCGAGGATGAGTCCCCTGGTTAGCACTACGCAGGTGGCGTCCGGGGGGGGCTTGAACGGATTTACGAGCGCTAATGGGCCCTGGAACCTCTCCGCATGCCCCAAGAGTGCCAGTCTCTCATAACGTGTGAGCCATGTCCCTTCGCAGTAAGACTCGAGGACGGCACGGCGGGGAGCTTTATCAGGATGTCTGCTTTGGACGTCGCGTAAATGCCCAGTCTCGCCGAGCTTTTGCCTAGCTAGAAGGAGGCTTGAAGGCTAGCAGAGGCTCGCAACGGCAAATGCTTGACATTTGCTTGCAGGCGCCATGGCTCTTCATGGCACAGTGAGAGCGTTGAGTCAAGGCAACGCCGCGACGGGATGGGCGCGCTGGCGCAGCAGCCTTCAGGCCCCAAGAACAGACGGCAGCGCCGAGAGCAAAGCCGAGTCTGAAGAGAGACACGGAGAGAATGGCCGAGAGGGCTGGCAAAGCTTGTTGTCGACATCACGTTACATTTGTACGAGCGATCAGCGAAGAGCGCGGCGATTGAGACCCTACGCTAAACGTCCCCCTCATAGTCCGCGGTCAATCTTGATTCATCCTTGATTGTAGCCACAACCAGGTTCTCTTGTGATTGTCTCTCACAATTTGTGTGGTCAAATTTACGATTCATCAGAAGGGAGGCAAATCTCATCATTAGCTGTAACAAGAAATCCAGATTCCAGAATCAGGTGAGAGGATGCAGTTCCTGGCCACCCGCAAACCAACCTACCAGAGAGGCATCATTTGTCAGTTGTGTTGGACCGACTTGGCAGCAACCAACCGATCAACCGACTTGGTCCGCGTCGATGGATGCTTTTGGTTGCTTGGCGAGGAACTTCTGAAGTGTTCCCATTTCTTGGTATTCAGAACCAGACACGCCAGCCGCGGCCCGCGTGCCAGTCATACAGAAGCGAACAGCGGGACGGGATGAAGGCGGACATTAGCAGTCCGTAGTAAATGAGAGCCTCAGCATTGTCACCGTCGTGCAAGAATAGGCATTCCCCTCCGACCTCCGTTTGACTGCCCGGCGTTCGCCATCCTCCTACCTTTGTTGGTAAAGCTGTCAAATTCTGTTAGCAAATATTTTCATCTGGTGGGACGCTAGTCGATGGCGTCATTCGCAATGGCCCGAGAAACAACGTGAAGAGACCCTCTTGAGACTCAGAAGTTCAAACTTCAGTTCACTGTCTCCAGAACGGAGCGGTCAGGGACTCGGGGACGCAAGGTTAGCTAGGCGCCGTTGTTTGGGCAAAGAAACGTCAACTCCACAAACCTCCGGGCAATCTCCATCCCATCTCCAGGTTGGCCCTCATGGGTGGCCCATGACTAGTGAGCGCGATGGAGAGTCTTCAGAGGGCACCGAGTGGTCTGGCCACCACCCTGGAGAGATTGGGGGCCAGGAACGTGGGTGAACCGTGAGAGAGACAGAGAATACATACGTAAGCACGACAGGTTATGAGATAGCAGGTGTCTTACCAAAGACTATGACTAGACTTGATTAGATAATTTGTTAGTCGTAAAATCCCGGCCTGAATGCCGATATGTCCCGACCCGCCGAATTACTGAGGCTTGAGTCTTGACAGATTGACCGTCAGAAAGGAGCACTCGTGGCGGTTGAATGAATGCGAGCATTGTTGTATGTAGATGGGAAGGCCATTATCATTCAGGTGACTGTTTCCAGTCTTGTCGATGGAGGCTTTGTAATCTCTACAGCTTAATACAACCGAAGAACACAAACTCGGGTTTTCGGTACCGGATCGGCCTTTTCCCCTCATCCAACCCCACGAAAACGCCTTCTGGGTGGCTAATGTTTTACCCCTCCACCGGGGTATTAGATGCTCTTCGAGTGATTTGAGAACTATTCGTGACATGAGCAGATAGTGTCGTGAGAAAACAACGTCTCCTCCAACCACGCTGTAGCAAGGCTTACCTCCATTCGGAAGTTTCCTTTCCATTATCTGATCCTGTCGAGTGAGGCTGCATATGCACGCCCACCTCCAAGTCGCCGACTGTCAATACATACGCCCCGCCAAGATCCTCAAGCCGACTTGGAGAAGCCGAATTGAGTCACCGTCGCCCTGAACACCTTGATATCACCAATTTTCCTCGTGAAATTGGAACGCCAGCTCGCTATTTTCTTTCCCATAGTCGATACTGCGCCTCTCAAAGTTCTGCATGAGGCTGTATCGCTCTCCAATCCGCATCAGTACTTTGACGACCCCTCTCAGCCGGTCAACCTCGTGGTACGCACGCCGTGGATCACCGCATCCCGGACAACGCCTTTACACTCTCGCTAGTTATCCTACCTCATCTAGATACTTAGCAACCATGGTTCAGGTTACGCAACTCAAGATCGCCGTCTTGGACGACTACCAGGGCCTCTCGGAGCCCCACTTCAGCAAGCTGGATAAATCGTTGTTCAATGTCACCACTTTCAAGGACACCCTGCTGCCCTACAATCACCCCGAGACCCCTGAATACGCCAAGGATGCATTGGTCTCGAGGCTGGAGCCTTTCGATGTTCTCTGTAATTATGACCCATTCCCTTCCATAGAATGGCAGCAACTCCGATGTCTTCATGAGTGTATAATCCAGGCTAACACGAATGTCAAGGTACCATGAGAGAACGCACTCCGTTTCCCAAGGAACTCATTGGAAGATTGCCAAACCTCAAGCTTCTTCTCTCCACGGGCCTGCGTAACAAGGGTCTCGACCTCCCAGCCTTCAAAGATCGCGGCATCCCCGTCGCTGGCACTGTTGACAAGGCGACAGTCAATCAGACCGGCACGAATAGCACAACTCAGCACTGCGTGACCCTGATCCTCTCGTTGGCACGGAACATCGCCGCTGATGACCTCGCTGTCAAATCTGGCTTGTGGCAGACGGACGTTGCCATGGGCGTGACAGGCAAGACATTTGGTGTCGTTGGACTGGGCCGTCTCGGCGTCTCGACGGCAAAGATCATGCATGTAGCATTTGGGATGAACGTCATTGCATGGAGCACGAATTTGACACAAGAAGCTGCAGATGAGAAGGCCAAGGCCGAGGGCTTGCCGGTGGGCACTTTCAAGGCTGTCAGCCGGGAAGAGCTGTTCAGCACTGCTGACGTTCTCAGCGTTCACATTGTACTGTCAGACCGATCGAGGGGACTCATCAATGCGGATGACCTCTCCAAGATGAAGAAGTCGGCGTTGTTTATCAACACCTCTCGCGGCCCCCTTGTAGTCGAGAAGGATCTTCTAGACGTCTTGAAGAAGGGCGGCATCAGGGGCTGTGCCTTGGACGTGTTCAACCTCGAGCCGTTGCCTGTGGACAGTGAGTGGCGGTCGACTGAATGGGGCCGTGATGGTCGCAGTAGGGTGCTCCTGACACCTCACATGGGTTATGTCGAAGAGGGTACCTTGAACGCGTGGTATGAGCAACAGGCGGATAACATCCGGAGGTGGCAGGCAGGCGATGCTCTTGATAACGTTTTGGCTTGAACGAAAAGTGTCACGTGAAAGCCATACCTCGGAAAGAGATAAACAAGCCTCAATGGACAAAAGATCAAATAAATGTCAATGTTTCGACAAGCACTGAAAGTCCGAATCAGACAAAGGATTCTTGCAACCTGCTAAGAGTATAATGTCCAGGGGAATGAGGCACTGTGACTCAACAGAGCTACAATTCTTGTCAAGTGAGAAATGAGGAGGATCAGTTGTCTTTTCGAATGTACTTCAGTAGTTCCCCAGGCCTATGCGATAATGGAGATGACGTTGAGTTAATCTCAGCCACTCGGTTCACGCTGTTTAGCGTTGATCGCCTTGCCAACTGCATTACCTGTCAGCTCACTACACGTACTTCAGGCGCCAACTTTTCCAGACAAGTGCAATTATACGAAGCAGATTTTTGTGAGCTCCATCGGACTGGCTGTAGAACATGAGGGAAGCCGAACATACTTCGAGCTGTTGGGGTCATCGGCGGCTCAACAATAGAGGCGCCGTCCACTATCTCAAGCGTCATCAAAAATTCAAGGGTGGCTTCTGCTTGTGCCCAGAAAGCCCTCAATAGAGCCTGGGGCAAATTTCAATGCAGCCTGAATCATTCACATGGCTTCAGAACTTTCGAAGAATCCCCTGTGGCTTCGACGCTCGTGCGATAATGTCCTCGAACAACTCAGACCAGCCCCGTGCGTGTTTCTTTGGTATTGACTCTGCGTGAGTGGAGAAGACGGTGACGAATCCCGAGGCCTCTGACAGGTCATCCAATGATCGACGCTCGTCGGAGAATTTTCGTATTCGATACGACGAACTGGTTAAAGGCTTGTTTTCTCTCAACCACAATAAAGCTTAGTTGTTCTGCTCATCTCTGCTATGTGCTTTTTAGTGACGGAAATAAATACCGTCGTCGGAACGCGAGACCGAGCTTACACCTTTTCGAAGACACAGCACGCCCACAGCATGGGAGTCGCGCCGACTTCTGAGCAATGTCTCCGGCTTCAGCAACGCGACAGAAAAGTGCCCTGACCCTTGATAGCCTCGAAATATCTGTGCTATTATCTATGCACTGTCGCTCGGGAGAGTGAACCGTCATAAAAGAATTGAAACATCTGCCGTGGCTATGGCAGGCGAAGGCATCGACATTTGCTTGGGTTCCTCCTCGACGACCACCCGGTCCGGAGGCTGTTGCTGCGGGTCGTGTCGCAAAAATAAGAGAAGATCGCACAAAAAGTCTAGAAATGGTTGTCAGAATTGCAAAAGACGCAAAGTCAAGGTTGGCTAAGTTACATCCATCAGATCAACGTCGCCCGGAAAATATGCCCTTGGCTACTACTTGTTCATCGAGCTGCTCAACTAACATTCTTGCTTAACAGTGCGATGAGATTCACCCCGAGTGCACCAACTGCGTGAGATTTTCAATGAAATGCGACTATCTATCTGCATCCACAGAGGAGCAGACTTCCACGTCCCTAGGGGACGACGAGCGTCAAGGAAAACGAGTTCGACAAAACGAAGAAAGGAAGCCCGCCACAGACATACCTACTCCGACGGCCTCTGATATGGAATCAGACTATGGCCAGACACCCTCTAGTCACATCGATCCCCTTTTGCGTAATGCCTGTATTCTCGATATCCAGAGCCTCGAACTCCTACACCACTACATGTGTCACACGTCGATAACCCTAGGAGACCCCCAAATCTTTAGGGATGTGATTCCACCACTCGGCTTCAAGTACGAATGCGTTATGCGAATGGTCCTATCAATTACCGCCCGACACCTCACCCGACTACGACCCGATCAAGCGGGTTACTATCATCGTCTGGCAGAAGACTATGCAGCGGCGGCATTTCCAGAAGTGGCGGCCATGCTCGCCCAGGTCAATGACGACAATTCGCAGGCCCTCTACTACGCTACAGTCCTAATAAGTCTGTCATCTTTTGCTACAGACCCATCACCAGGGAATATTCTACTTGTCGCCGCCGAGGAGGACGAAGTATCATGGTGGGCGTTGATGAGGGGAGTGAAGATCGTGATCAGCACGACAGGACTAAAAAATATCAGAAAGCAATCAACGGCCGCTCTGCTTTGTGGTAGTTCTACATGGAATGAACCAAAAACTTCAGCTCTTAGCGTAACATCGCTTGCACTGCAGTGGGAGAAGCCTCTGGCTGAGATCGAAGAGCTTGTGGGCGAGGTGTATGCCGCCGAAGACAGCATTCATCGGCCTGCTTTTACCCACTTGAAGGAATGTTACAGGAAGCTATTTACTGCATCTGATGAGCCAAAATTCGACAACGAGCAGATGCCTTCTATCATTTACGGCTGGCTATATGAGCTGACTGAAGACTTCGTATTGTCTATACAGAGAAGAGACCCTGTACCCCTGGTTCTGCTTGGGTACTATGCTGTTCTGCTACAGCAATTGGAACATCACTGGTTCATGGAGGGCTGGTCACTTCAGGTCATGAATGGCGTTTACGCGCTACTTGAGGATGGTCACCGGCATTTTCTTACCTGGCCATTGGAACAGGTTGGGTCCATCTGGTCAGGATTATGAATCAACAATAAGTACATGTAGCAGTGGAAAGGACCATCCGAGCATTCATCATGGTTCTACTTTCCACAATGGAACCCTTTGATAGAATTTCCTTTGCTTCCGAACCCTACCGAATGAGACTGTGGTCAACTGCACGCCATGGCATGGGGACTCCATTGTTCAATAGATGAATGGACAGGTTTCAACCATTCACATGGTCGCGACCTTCGCTCTAAAGGTGACGGTATCCCACGCAAGCAACTAGGCAGCCTTGTTGATGACGGGCCAGCCCTTCTTGATTGAGCCCAGTCCACTATTGTTGGCATTCTTGCTCTTGACTCTGATCACGTCACGACTCTGTCCGACTGACCGGTAAACTCTCGAGCCCGTATCGCACTTCAATAACAGTGCCGTCAGGGATTTACACTGCCGAAAGAACCGAGTTGCGTTCGTCGCAGAAGATTCCCGGTCCAAGTGATTGGCCCGGAGTGCCTTAATCATTGCCTGCAAAGCTCCACCGCTCAGTCCCCGCGGTGGATAGACGACGGGAATCTCAGTCATAGCCAACTTCTCCAAGTGGTTAAGATGTTTGAGGATTGGAATGATATCCTATAATGAACCATGAGCACTGATTTCTAGGTGCCCGCCGACTTTCATTCGCCTTGACGTAGGGGATGAACATCATTGTGAAACGTAGCAGGTACGAGGGGCAAAGGAGAAGCTGACGGGAGCGGTTTGTTGCGCGTCACACTCACGAACTTACCGAGACTCTTGTGCACTTCAGTTCGCCATCAATGAGAAGGTAGTTGATAGATGGAAAGAGCTTCACGACTTCCTTGAGATCATCACATTTCCAATGCGCCTTGTAGAGCTCTAGCGTTGCAAGGGTCGTCAACTTTGGGGCGATAATCCTGAGGCCGGCCGTGTGCATAGGCGAGCCGTTGAGTTCCAGACTTAGGCAGCGAAGGTTTGGAAATGTCTGAGGGATGAAGCTGATGGTGATCGATGAAGGGTATGTCAAGACTCGGACGGATTGCAGGCATGCTTTCTGCTTGCCAAGCTCTGCTCGGAAGAAGGCGACCATGGATTTGTTTCCACACTTGAAGGTAAGACAAACTTCCTCTGGGGTGATCTTGCGCAAAATCTTGACGAGAAGTGCTGCTGTGGTTCTTGAACATGGGATGATGGATGGGTCGTAGTCATCCCGCCACTTCGTGGGCGGCCACTCGGGGCCTTGAGTGCAAAGAGACAGGTGGCTTGGAAGGCGTTAGCATTCAGAGCCAGGTCATCCGAAGATGTGGCGCTGAAGGAAAAGTAGAGGACGAGTGGGTGTGGACTTACCGTATGGAACCCAGAATCAACGCGTTCCCCTCAATGGCTTGGAGTTTGTAATGCATCTCGTTCTCATTAACTGTTCGACAGACAGTCTTGAAGAGGTCAGGGATGGTGAAAACGCGGAAGAGCTTGCAGACCCGTGACATTGCTCTGAGGCTGTTTCGATCTTCAAAGTAGACGCCTCTTCGACTTTTAGAGAGCTTAGCAAATCCGATAGTCTCGATGATCAGCTCCAGAGGCAGGGTCATAAGGCTGGCGCTCGATGAGGGAGTGGAAATGACCGTTTTGGTTGCAATATAGCCGCTCTCTCTGGAAACATCCTCCATGGTAGTGGTTTCCTCGATGACCTTTGTCGATAGATAACTTGAGAAAGTTGGAATTCGAAGGTGGGTAGCGATTGGAGGCTCGTTAGCTCAGAAAAGTGCCAAGAGAAAAGAATTGAGTACCAGGCGAGGAAGTAGCGGGTGTTGGCAATATAAGCAAATATTGCAGATGGCCCAGGGCAAAGCTGGTATTATGCCATTTTCATGAAGGAAGCTGCGAGAAGGTGCAGCTTTCGAACTTGACAAAGAGTTGAGGCAGTTGTAGGAAGTGGCCACCGTGAGAAGATATTCGGGGCAAATGGAAGCCATATACCTAGGTACTGGGAATAGTAGGCACATAGCATCAAGTGCTTATCACAGCCTTCCAGTAAGGTGGGATTTCAGGCCACCGAGGTTTATTTTATTCAAATTGTCTTGGCCTGCCAAACCACCTCGGATACCTTGGATGTCCTATATTTCCATTCTTTACTGAAGAGCAATAAAGAGTCGTTTATTACGAACACACGCCTTTGTCTTAAGGTGTGCCATAGAAGCGATGACAAGGGGAGTGAACCAGACACGACATGGAACAAAGGCTATCCAGAAGTTCAGAGATGCCACTTTCTCTAAAGACAAAGATCACAACAGACAAGACACGGGGTCTAGTACAAATTACCGTTGAGAATCATGATATTCTTTTGCCAAATAAAATCCCATTTCAACTGAACGCCAATACAACTTGTGCATTTGTGCACTTCACTAACTAGCCCTTATGCCCTTGTATCACACAGCACTGTCGCCTCTAGTAGGCCAACGATTAGGTGCTTGGGCAGGGAAACAGATAAAGCAGGATGAATTGCAAATAACCTCAAAGTACGGACACGAAGATCCTCGCGGGCATAGGCATGGCATGGCCCCTTGGCCAAAAAGACATGAAGCTAGGGCCCTCAGACAACAGGCCAAGGGAACTCCTGCACTCCATCCGAGAATTTGACGTCGACGAGTTGTCCTTGTTTGTCTTTGACGGGAACAAAGCAATGCCCCTGAAAAGCTCGGTCCATGATGTAGAGAACTTCCAAGTTAGGAAGGTTCTGCCAGACTCTCCACGCCTGGTCGTACCGCCGGGATCTAGCATCATGGAAGCCGATTGCGGGGAGTAGCTTCTTGGCCATTGTCGAGGCCTGATAGTGAACTGGCAAGATCGCATCCAGAGGTGAGGAAGCCTGGCACCGCTCATCACTGAGTGCAAGAACTTTGAGGTTGGCCATGGGCGTCAGGTGTCCAGTTGCTAACTAATGTGCGAAACTGGTCAGTAGGGTGTTCATGAGACCTGCAGTGAGACAGATAAGGTAAAGAATGGAATAGTAACTTACCTGCAGATCCCATCTCGGCCGTACCGGGGAACCTCCAAAGGCCATAGTTCCGCCCATCGTCAAGCGAGATATCTGGGGGAAGATTGCTTGGACCTCTTGGAAGTCACTGGCGTCCCATCGCATTTTGCAGATCTGAATATACGCAAGCTGGGGTCCAAGTATGCTCGCAAGGTCGCTCAGACCATCGATCGAGGACAGTGGCTTGTTCAAAGGGGCCTCGAAGCTGAAAGCTTTGAGATTCGGAAAGCCGGTTACAATGAAGCCGATGTCTGTCGTGACGGGGAAAGACAACGCAGTGACTAATGAGAGATCCCACTGAACTGCATCCATAATCCGAGACAACGGTCTGATGAGAGACAACGTTGCCTTGAATCGAAAGTCCATCCGGATTTCCCGAAGATTATCCAATTCGCCGATAAGGAACATGATGTCCGTTGGAGTTGACGGTCTGCAGGCAGCCTTGGGGCCTTGGACCTGAACAAAGCGGCCGGGGGTTCGTGAGGTTGGCGGACCTTCTGTGTAGATGCTGAGTACTCTGAGAGGAAGTAATTGTCAGTCAACAGACCTGTGCCATGTGGGTAGATTACCAGACATACTGTATGGAACGAAGGATGAGTCTATTGCGAAACACCAACATCACATGATCAGCGAGGGCATCTTCAGCGCAGCTTATCTGGGCAACTCGGAAGATGATGGGAATGCTGAGACCTCTCATGAGTCGGCTAGTCTTCGAGATCGGGAGGAGAGAGATGTTGTTGTTGTCCATCTGGCGGAGAATTTCCAATATGAGCTCTTGGGGCATCCGTTGGAGCGGAAATCCGCCGCTGCCGCCGTTTGTAGGAGGCTGGCCAGGGAATTGGATAGGAGCGATGGCACTCATCTTGTCGCTGGTGGTAGATGAGAAGCAAAGACAATTTCGTATGAGAAAAGTGTTTGCAATGCTCAGTGTGCGTGGGATGAGGGTGAGAGTGAGATGGGAAAGTGAGGTAATCTCGTGTGAGCGCGGCAAATATTTCCGAGACTCGATGGATTTTGACAAGGAGAAAGGCTGTAGTGAGGAAAGTGAAAGAAGAAGTGACAGGCGATCTCGAAAGAAGGGAAATATCTGCGAGACTCGATAGGTGTTGAGAGGAAGAAATTCCAAGGTGAGTGAGGGTGAAAAGAAACAGTGGCAGGCCAAAGACGCGACTGAGGTGGAATTTTTCAGAAGAAAGTAGGAAGGCACACTCACCCTTCACCCGGTCGTACCTTCCATAGTAGGCGGTGTGATATTAATTTTATGAAGTTGCGTATTCAGTCACTCACGTGTTCACTATAACGATGCAGGAGGCAATCTGGATTCTGGAGTCTGGGATTAGGACTTTAAAGACGGCCATAATAGCGCCTTTGTTTCTTACTAGCCCTCATCCCTTCCTTCTTCTTCGCCTTTCTTCTTTGTGCAAGATTCATTTCATTCATCTTGAAGTTGTCTGTCCAGTCTCCTATAAGTTTTGGTATTGGTGTATTTACTGAAAAGTTGCTCATCTAAAGCAAGCGAACTTCCTTGAAAAACACAGGCAAAGGTAATATTCAGGCGTTGATCTCCTCGGTATCTATACATTGCTTTCTTAATGCTTCAAAATACGTCCATGTTACAGATTAAATTTTCACGTTGTCGAGGACTGAAGCATCGCCAGCCCTGGGCCCCGTCTACTGATGACTTCTCCTGAGGCAGCCTAGCCAGGCTACCAGTATCTTCGGACCGGTTCTCTCGCTGCCAACTGAAGCACCCTGCCTGCAGAACTACTTCTTAGTATCGTCGCTTGAACCGTCAGAACGACTTTTGCACATCTTGTTGTGGAAATAAACAATCAATGACTTTCTATTGATGAAGGCCACATGGAGAAACGCAGGAGGTGCCATTCCAATCGCGAGATCCGCCGCTTGAAGTTGAGTCACGACCGGACACTTAAAGTGCCGGGCGAACTATACTCGTGATGATGACCCGGTACGTTCCGACCACCCCAGGCAGCATAGCAGCGATGATTCTCCGTCATAAATAGTTTAGAGCACGCTTCGAGTTCAAGGGATTCGCTATCATTTCTTCATCGTCGAATAAATACTGGGGTAGAAATTCTTCACGATGGACCCTGCAAATTTGGGAGGTCAGAGAACCGTAGTGCTGGGACTCTATGACCATTTTATTCGGGCGGTCAACTTCATGGTAATATTATTCCAGCAATCTACCAAGGAGATGGATACTGATTCTTGAACACCAGGCTCCATATCCCTTCCTCTATCTCTTCCCCACGAGGAGGATCTCCCGGCACTTGTTGAATTCAAACCATACATGTACAGACACTACCATGTTTCCACCCCGTGGCGTCCCAAAAACGCCTAAAAGCCGCGACAGTCTTACACATCGGCTGCTTTCCCTTGGACTTTGGGCCTGCTACAAGAGAACACAATCGGTTGTCTACTCCCGGCTAGAGTCACACTTGCCACAAGTTGTTGCATCGACGCTCACCACGATTGCCTGTGCTCCTATCCGGCTGTCCTGGACATCTCTAGTCACGTCTGATGAGAATGAGAGGGGTGGCACCTTCATGACGTCTCTGTTCGCCATACGACGTGCCACATGGCTGCGCTTCATCGCTACAACGATTTTGTGCGACAACTTCGATCTTGTGACGAGCTTATGCCTCAAGTTTTTCTTCGACGCTATCGCCCCGTTCCCATCTGACGAAGAGTTGCTCAGCGGCGAGGCTACGATTCGTGTCTCGTCTTGTCTGAAAAGCGCTGCCTTGATTCTTCCAACTGTCATGCTCTTATGGATACTGGAAACAGTACCCTCCACCTGTGCTGCTACTGCTGCACTTTACCAACATTTGGAAGTTGACAAAGGATGGTTGGTTGGTGTCGCGGAGGACATTCGTGTTGGAATTCACTCCATGAGTTTGCAACTATGTCAAGGCCTGGCCCAGGACTTCTTGCTCGGATCCGTCAGTGTTCTAGGGATTGCTTTGGCTCCGATGGTCGGTTGGGTGCTGTTTCCGCGATCTGTATGATAACGTAACTTCATGTAAGAGGATGTGTCTTGCGCCAGCAAAAGATGTAGTCTACAATTACCACCCAGCTCAACCGCACAACTTCATATATTTCGGATAGCAAGTGCAGTGAGTTTACTCAAAGATATGTTCACAGGCTGTCATGTCGTGTACAAGCATGTATGGTTGTGTTGATTGAATAGAACTCGGCTACATCTTACTCGGCATCCGCATGCCACCATCTAACCTCAACACTGTCCCATTGAGCATCACATTCTCAATAGCATGCCGTGCTAGTGCCGCAAATTCCTCAGGCTTACCCGCACGTACGGGAAACTCCATAGAACGCTCGAGACTGGCGCGGACCTTGTCGGACATCATGGAAGTCATGCGTGACTCGAATAGACTCGGGGCGATGGTGACAACGCGGATGCCGAAGCGGGCAAGGTCACGGGTCATGGGAAGCGTCATGGCCGCGACAGCGCCTTTACTCGCGGCATAGGCGACCTGGCCCTTTTGGCCGTCAAAGGCTGCAGACGATGCGACCATGATGACGATGCCGCGCTCGCCGTCGGGCTTGGAGGGCTCGTTTTTGGCCATGAGAGCCAGTGCCTGGCGGGTAAGATCGATGGTGCCGCGTAGGTTGATGTTCAGGACAAAATCCCAAGCATCTAGGCCGAATGGCGCGCCATGGCGGTCGAGGATCTGGCTTGATTGTTAGACATGCACAACACGGCAGTAGCCGGACTCGGGGATGGAAGCATACAGATGACGGGTTACCAACACCGGCTGCTGGGATGACACCTCCGACAGGCTTTCCTGACTCCCTTACCCAGGCGGCGGTTCCCTGGACGGCGGCCTCGATGCTCTTGGTGTCCAGAACATCGCAGACAAAGAACTTTGCAGATGAGCCCAGCTTGGATACCAGCTCATTGCCGCTATCCTCATTCATGTCCAGAATGGCGACGTTTCCTCCATTGTTGCATATGTCCTCCACGCAGGCCTGTCCCAGGCCAGACGCGCTGTCATGGGATGGAAGTTAGCGGGGTGGTCATTAGCATGTGATCAGGGATGATGGGCTGGTTGGGCTGTGGAGAGAGGCCTGTTACGTGAGAAAATGAGATGCATTGCTTACCCGCCAGAGACGATGAAAGTGTGGCCTGAGATCTTCATTATGATGTTTGTCTATGAAAAAGTATAAATCAAATCACATGGGTTGCAGTTGAGGGATGGATGTCAAAGGAGGTCAAATAGGACGGCGTTGAGGTGAGAGCTTACAGCGGGTGCTCCACTAAAGCTCGGTAGTCCGGTGAGGAACAAAGTCAAGCCTCGGCAGCCGGTGTAGGCTCGGTGAACTCTGCCAGTCCCATTGATTATGAGGTGGAGTGTCAAGCCACGATTGGCGGGGTCACCTGAGGCAGTACGTATCCTCAGGGCTGGAACAGGACGGGAGTGCAGGACCAATGGGATCCTATCTCGGGCCGTCCGATAAGGCTTCGAGGTACGTACTCCTAACAGCCACACCTCTGGCACGTGCGCTGTACGCGGGTGGGCTTGACGTTGGCGCTCGAGCCCCCCCATCCCATGTCGCAGACTCAGCGGAGCCCGGCGGAGGCCCGGCCCAGTTCTCTGGTGGTGGTGGTGTGCCGTCATTGCAGCACCTCTGGGTGCTTTGCCAGCGCACTTTACTGCACCAACCAACTACGGATACCTGAACGCAATCAGCGCAAGGCTAAGAGCGCACCTCAAGCGACGTCAATCTTCCTTTTCCTGTCCCTTGCCCAACTCGAAACAACAAACCCGATCTGACGCCCTTTCGTTGCTCGTTGCGACCTCAACGTCGCCGCCAGTCCCAGAGGCCGCCGATTCTTTACTCCCTCCGTTTCTTTATGCCGAGCATTGCTTGCTTTTCGCGAATCGAAACTTGCGCCTGAGCGCGTTATCGGCCCAAACTAGAACTGTCACCGTCTTTTGCTTACAAACTGCACGACTTTCCCTCCTCCTCCGCCATTCAGCTTCCCTCGTGGCCTTATCGCCGCTGCGCCGCTGTCGCCCGACTTTTTCGACCGATACACCCCATCGCGCCGCATACCATACCTTATACACATTCCGCACCGCCACGATGACGAGACCGCGGGGTTCCAGCGCCGCGAGCGAGGAGAGCAACGGCACCGCCGGCGAACAGGTGAGGAACCACCCAAACGAGCTCCGATCCGATAACGACCGGGAACATGGGATGGGATAGCATACTGACGGAGTGCGCAGGAACTGGGTAGCATGTACGACTACTTGGCAAAGATTATCTTGCTAGGACCAAGCGGGACGGGCAAGTGAGTGGCATCAACACCCGAATGGGAGCACGCGACCAACTCCGGCCCTCGCACATAGCTGACATGGCGCTTCTCCGCGATCTCAGGTCCTGTCTGCTTCACCGCTTCGTCAAGAACGAGTGGAGAGTCCTGTCGTCACAGACCATCGGCGTCGAGTTTGCAAGCAAGATCATCAAAGTCGGCACCGGATCACGGCGGAAACGGATAAAGCTTCAGGTATGCCCCCAAGACTCTCAACAGCGCGACCGAAAAAGGAAGGCGATGCTGATTACAGGAACACCAGCTTTGGGATACGGCCGGCACCGAACGATTCCGCTCCGTTTCGCGATCATATTACCGAGGCGCCGCCGGGGCCATTCTCGTCTACGATGTCACAAATCACAGCAGTTTCCGCGGTCTGCAGCCCTTCCTCAATGACGCACGCGCACTAGCATCCCCGAATCTATCATGCCTATTAGTAGGCAACAAGCTCGACCTCGCTTCCGACCAACTTATCGATACAAGCCTTCCTCCGCCAACACCGAGCAGCGTCGGCTCCATGTCGTACTTTGCAAACGGCTCCGTCGGATCAACGGGAACAAGTCTGCCATCGCTCGGCACGCAGCAGAAGGCCACGGAGGCGCCGGAAGGGCGGGAAGTCAGCAATGCGGACGCAAACAGATGGGCAGGGACGGTCGGGATCCCGGTGGTGATGGAATCAAGCGCGTTTAACGGCGAAAATGTGGACGAAATCTTTGCGAGGCTCGCTAGAATGATCCTTACCAAGATCGAGCTGGGCGATATTGATCCGGACGACCCGATGAGTGGCATTCAATACGGCGATGGATACGGAGGAGGATGGAATGCGGGCGCCAGCGACGGCGCGAGTATCAAGAGTTCCATGACTGGCGCGACACTCGATGAAGCGGCGGGAGGTGTCCGCAGAAGAAGAGGCCGACGAAACACGCGCAGCGGCGCAAACTGGGGGCTGAGAGATTGGGAAGAGGTCTTTACGTTGTCGAACCGACGAAGAGGGGGCAACTGCTGCTGAGGTGTTTTTGCCTTATGGTACCATAGGCGTGCCATATGGTGGAAGAGAAGAGACGAAACTTGGATTCTTGCTGGTTGGTATCTTTGGGCGCGGAGTTTTGCGAGGAGTCTTTATTTCCCAAGGGATGGTCCATCACGGGGCCGGGATACTACGGGCTCGAGGGTCCGAGATTAGCGTTGTACCTGACTTTTGGTTGACGACGAAGGAGCCACGTTCTCTTCACATGTCGAAGTTGGTGGAGCTGGCGTTGCGGGATAGATACCTCATTCTTAGGTCAGGGCTGGCCATACACATACACGCTTCGCTTTCACAGCTACATACATTAATGACACCTTTTGGTACATGCAGACAGGGCGGGTGCTTTTTGTATTGATGATGTGACTTTTGCCGGTAACTAGAAGGGTTCGACTATGGGGAACATGGAACTAATTGCATGATCTGATTTGGAATTTGAATCAAAAAGGCAATCTTAACAGTCTCATGACGGAGCTTTGGCTTCCTGGATCGTTGGCAAATGTAATGTCTCGAGTCTGATATTGGCCGTGAAGTGAAGGGCATGATGAACGGCGGGAATGCATCCGTCCCACTGGAAGCCCACCCGGGCGATGTGATGCCAGAGGATAAGAAGGACGGCACAATTGAAAACCTGAAACGGCGAGCTGCAGAACTGCAATGCATTTGTAACACGGCCGAGAAAGCCAGTGATTCGAAACCAGAGTAATCTCTGGCCGTATCGTAAGAGCGAGGGAGACTGACAACGTGGAAGGTGGTCGTCATGAGGCTATCCTCGGGCCCTGAAGCATCGGAGAATGATGCAGCGATTCCCACGGCTATTCCCAACAGAGAAGACGGAGGGCCTCCCTCCGCGAAGGAACCCCACCGAGGTGAGCAGGGGTCTCCAAGGTGGAATTGGGGGAAACTTTTGGATATTTGGGGTAAAGAGGCGGTTCTCCACTCCGTTCGGTGGTGATTTATATCCCCGATGGTGAGACTTGACGATATTTATGGGAACTGGGACAAAGGCCTTCGAATAGGAAGAGTTGCCGATTTGCCATGACGAGTTGTATCCAAGAGGATACCGGCGTGATGGGAACGATCTCTTGCCAAGAACATGTGCTGCGCCGTCAGTGGGCTTCTCTACTGCTACTGTAGAGCCAGCCCGGCCAAGGTAAGGTAGGTGAGGGGCAGCATTGCCATCACAGACGTTCTCATAGTAGTTGGACTCTTAGAACAGAAGCACGACGTAAAGGGTCACCTCACTCAAACCCCTTGGTCTTGCAGCCATGTGCGTGGCTTCCTCCGAATGCAGCCCGCCGGCAGGTTGACTTTATCCAGCAAGGGATGTAACCACACAGTGGCAGCACACTTTAAACAATGTTCCATTTCTAATCCTAGAGAACAGACAGTCTTGTGCCCGTTGGAGAAAAAGAGGCGTCCCTCATTCTCCGCGCGAGCCTGGCTTGGACCAGATGGGGAATACCGGTAAGTGAGAGCAGACAAGGTGGGAGGTGTGGGGGAGCTGATTTCCAAGGAATCCAAAGGGGAAAAAGCCTATGAGGAAAAAGGGGCCCTGGATCATGGATCGGGTAATGGAGGGAATGGAGATGCATCTCGGCGGGTGTCGTCCCGTCGTTCAGACTGAGGCAAGTTGCACGAGTTTG